ACGCCGACATGTTACGTTTTCTGTGGTGGCCGGATGCAAACTTGGATGCACCCCTCAAAGACTGCAGAATGACAGTACACATTTTCGGGGCAACATCATCCCCTAGTGTTGCTTCATATGCACTGCGAAAAACAGCCGAAGAAAGAAATGAAAGTGCAGATCCAGAAGCTGTAAAGACATTTTTGAACCACTTCTATGTAGATGATTGCCTGAGATCAATGCCCTCAGAAACAGAAGCAATCAATCTGATACATAATCTGCACGGTTTAGGCAGGAAGGGAGGGTTCAACCTTACCAAATGGGTGAGCAACTGCAGGAATGTTCTGGCATCTATACCAGCCGAGCAGCGGGCCAGTGAGTATAAAGATCTAGATCTCACACATGACATCCTGCCATTAGAACGTGCTCTTGGTGTCCAGTGGTGCACAGATAACGATACATTTACATACTGCATAAAGCCCCTGGGCAAACCAGCGACAAGAAGAGGCATTCTGTCTGTTGTAAACTCTCTCTATGACCCTCTAGGTTTCCTCTCACCTGTTATTCTCCCAGCCAAACTTCTCCTCCGTGACCTATGCAAAGAGAAACATGGATGGGATGAAGACATCAGTGACCCCCATTGTAAGCTGTGGCACCAATGGCTAAAGGAATTATCGGAGCTTGCAGACTTCAAGGTGAGAAGGTGTGTAAAACCGGAGGACTTTGGGCACACGGTCAAAGCTCAATTACACCATTTCTCGGATGCGCGCGAGCAGGCCTACAGCACAGCATCCTACCTCGTCCTTCAGAACAAACTAGGCAACACCCATAGCTCATTTGTAATGGGTAAGTCAAGGGTGGCACCTCTGAAGCAAGTCTCCATCCCGAGGCTGGAGTTGACAGCAGCCGTCCTCGCAGTAAAGATTGACAAAATGTTGAAAACAGAAATGCATATTCCATTGCAACAGTCAGCATTTTGGACAGACAGTACAACTGTGCTCAGCTACATAAATAATGACTCGACTCGTTTCAAAACATTTGTGGCAAATAGAGTAAACCTCATCCGTGAGGCTACAACACCACACCAATGGTACTATGTGAGAACAAGTGAAAACCCCGCAGACCTGGCCACTAGAGGGATTAAAACAAACACCTTTAAAGAAGAACAGGTATGGCTCAGTGGTCCACAGTTTCTACATCAGGAACAAAGTGAATGGCCAAAGGCACCCAACCTTCAACGTGAACTCCACCCAGAGGACCCGGAGGTTAAAACTATTACAGTTAACAGAGTGGAGGTTCAGGAAAGAGAACATCCACTCAGCAAGCTGATTGACTATTACTCCAGTTGGGACAAGTTAAAAAGAGCAGTTGCATGGCTTTCAAAAGTAAAAGAAATTCTGAACCAACGGAGAAATAAAATAAAAGAGTTACAGAGCATTCTGAGTAAAACAGAAAAGGATCCTGTAAAACTAAAGAAACAGGTGGAACAACAAATTATGAAGTACATGAAAATACTGCCCAAAGAAAAGCTCACCTTAAATGACTTACAAGAAGCTGAAAATGGACTCATTCGCTACAGTCAGCACCAGTGGTATGATGATGAACTGCAGGCTCTGCAAAGCAATCAGCATGTCAAAAAAAACAGCCAATTGTACAAACTTGACCCAGTCCTGCAGCAAGGCATTCTCAGAGTGGGAGGGCGACTAAAAAAAGCGGCAATGCCAGAGCACAGTAAGCACCCTACAATCCTCTCCAAACACTCCAGAGTGGCCTCTCTCATCCTTCAGGACGTTCATGAAAAGATTGGACATTGTGGGCGCAACTATGTCCTCTCAAAGTCACGCCAAAAATATTGGATCCCACAAGTTACTTCAAAAATCAGGAAACTTCTGTCAAAGTGCACAATATGCAAAAAGTTATATGGCCAGCCTGGACAGCAGAAAATGGCAAGTTTGCCAGAAGACCGCCTGATTCCAGATCACCCACCATTCACAAATGTGGGTATGGACTACTTCGGACCTTTTGAAGTCAAACGGGGCCGGGTCAAAGTCAAAAGGTATGGGGTCTTATTCACCTGTCTAACTACAAGAACTGTGCATATTGAGGTCGCAGACAGCCTGGACACTAGCTCCTGCATTAATGCTCTGCGCAGGTTCATCAGTAGAAGAGGACAAGTGGAAATCATACGTTCAGATAATGGCACAAATCTTGTTGCCGCCGACAGAGAACTAAAAGCTGCGCTAAAAGAGCTGAACCAGTCACGCATTGAAAGGAACATGCAACAAAAAGGTATAAAATGGATCTTCAACAGTCCAACAGCTTCTCATCAAGGAGGGATATGGGAGAGGCAGATACGCTCCGTCCGCAAAATACTCTCAGCCCTTATGAAAGAACAATCACTCACTGATGACAGTATGTATACACTCCTCTGTGAGGTAGAAAGTATTATCAATGGTCGGCCAATAACTACACTATCACATAGTCCACACGATCTTGAGCCACTCACACCAAACCACTTACTTTTGATGAAAATGCAGCCTAATTTACCCCCTGGGGTTTTCAACAATAATGACCTGTACTCGAGACGAAGATGGAGGCAAGTACAATATCTCTCAAACCTCTTTTGGACCAGATGGACTCGTGAGTACATACCTCTCCTCCAGGAACGCCAGAAATGGTCTGCACAAAAAAGAAACTTTCAAGCAGGAGACGTGGTGCTTATAGTGGATAACACAACTCCAAGAAACACATGGACTATGGGAAGAATCATTCAAACTTTTCCTGATGCCATTGGACTGGTACGCAAAGTGATGCTGAAGACAAAGTCCAGTACTTTGGAGAGACCCGTGAACAAGCTCTGTCTGCTACAGGAGGCAGGTCAGAACCAAAGCAAAGACTAAAGACTTCTTATAGTATTATGTTTACAATGTTTTGAACGAATATAAAACAGCTCTCAGTTATGAGTTTTTTGATAAATGCTTATGCCCGGCCCTAATGTTTAAATGAGTTAAACATTAGGGCCGGGAATGTGAGAGCCAAAGCAGTTAAAATGCAAAAAAGTGTTTAATTTAAAGCTAAAAATATAAAATAGTTTTTTGTCAATCAGATTATATGTTAAAAATGGTTAAAACCCTAGAAAGTTAAATGGTTACAATTCTTAAGTTAAAGAAAGATTCTAAAATGTTATAAGTTACTGTAAGTCTCATAATGATTAAAGACTGTAAAAAGCTATTGCAAATATCTAAGTTTAAAAACAGGTAGAGCAGCTTTAAAATCAGAGACACTCCCATTATTTAGACTGCTCTGATGTCATCAGTTTTGAGTTTTGAGTGCAGGTGTGGGAGAAGACAGATTTTCTACCTGCAAACTGTGGAGGCGTGTATTTTGACGTATCATTAATTGTGTATTTGTTTTAGGTGTGTTTTATACACGCCCTATGACTTATCTGGTCTGACAGTACTGCTTCTGGGGTAAAATGACGCGCTTTTTTCCCCGACACAGTCGCCACGTAGCCTTCATGGTACCACCGTAAATAGATCCATGGGTACCAGAGTACTAAACCACAACAACTTTCTTTCTTGTTATTAAGGCTCATGTAGATCTTTGTGTAGAGCTTTGATAGTCATGTTTTATGTTTTGCTTCAGCAACAGGTTCTAGCGGACACACATATGAGTAAATTTAATATTTAGTCTATGGAGACAGTACATTAGCCTGGCTCCAGCCAACCTTTAGCCCCGCCTCCATGGAGTTTCAGCGGGCTAAAGGTTGGCTGGAGCCGGGGTAACAGTACATCCTCATTATGTTGAACTGGAGACCAGATTTTAGGGACGTTCAATTAACACCAGAACAAAGTTATGTCTTCATAACTGTGGGAATTTCTGTTCTTTGTTTATTTTTATGATATTATCCATTTCATTATATTCAATACATGTTCTATCATACAGTCTATGGTTCTATCGCAGTTTAAGCCCTTTTCCACCTTTTCTACCATAGCAACAAACTACACTGTCAGCTGTTAGCATTAGCATTTCAAACTTGTTTGCTGTATTTCAGATTCACCAGTTTAAGTACATACGAAAAGTGAGTGAAAATGACACCTGTGGGAGTACCGGTGTTGAACACATTTTCATCTACAATCATGTAGATGTCAATGGTCACGTTTAGAGTCAAATATAATTAGCTAGCTTCTTTAAGCATGACTTATAACCCCTCTAGACTTGCGCCTCCAGACCCAACTCCTACTTCCCCAAAGCTTTTGTACCATTGTGTACTTGTAAATAGTAAGATATTTTTTCATGCATGCTTTTTTCTATTTTTACTCTGGCTTGTACCTTGAGCCAAAGCAAAGTCCTTTTTGGCGACAGGATTGGCAGACCATCTTCTCCCAAGCATCTTTTCACTTCAAGTTTTGTGAAATCAAGAGTCAGAGTCATGAGTAAAAACCCTATTAAACCTTTAATTAGAACGTTTGTACATTTGACCCGTTCCATTGGGGCCGCACTTTGGGACTAAATACATCGTCGTCGTGGTAACAAGCACTTAATACATATATAACAATGTACAGTCTTTACACAAAAATACATCTGTTCAGTTTTTAAACGTCTTTCGCGCCGCGACCACTAAAAAAATATGTGGAGGCTGAGGTCACGCCGAAGGAGTTACACCCAGAAGGAATAAATATTAGACCGAGCAGAGGGGGAGAAAGGGAGAGAGGGGGAGTGATGGGGAGAGACCAGGGGTGATACTCCTGAGACTGAGCAGGTTAGGAACCAGGAAATCCAGGATCAATCTGGGGGAATTTAGGCGTTGGGCAGTCTGCGGGTGTAGCGCAGGACCAGCTGTAGGGGGCGCTGTAGCTCTCAGGATCAGCTGTGGGGGGCGCTGTAGCTCTCAGGATCAGCTGTGGGGGGCGCTGTAGCTCTCAGGATCAGCTGTGGGGGGCGCTGTAGCTCTCAGGATCAGCTGTAGGGGGCGCTGTAGCTCTCAGGATCAGCTGTGGGGGGCGCTGTAGCTCTCAGGATCAGCTGTAGGGGGCGCTGCTGGACAGTCTGTTGGGGTGCAGGGGGCTGCAGCAGCTCTGGGCCTGGGGGAAGCGCTGATGGTACCGGTCCAGACGTAGGTACTTCACCGTCACCAGTTTACCTGGAAACACACTCTTGTTAGGACACAGTGTGGGAGGGGGGGGTGGAGGAGGAGCAGTGAGGGAGCAGGAGAAGCGAGGGAGGAAGGAGCGAGGGGGGAGGAAGGAGCGAGGGAGGAGGAAGGAGCGAGGGAGGAGGAAGGAGCGAGGGAGGAGGAAGGAGCGAGGGAGGAGGAAGGAGCGAGGGAGGAGGAGGGAGCGAGGGAGGAGGAAGGAGCGAGGGAGGAGGGAGGAGCGAGGGAGGAGGGAGGAGCGAGGGAGAAGGAGAGACTTCCTGGATGTAGTGAGTGCAGATCATTAAAGGAATAGTTCACCGTTTTTACATACTGACATATGTTCTTACCTTACCTTAGACTAGTTAATACGTACCTGTCTGGTCTTAGTCCGTGCGCTCTGTCATGCAAACGGAGCAAAAACGGGAGCACAAATGCAGCCTCCTCTGCTCACTGTGTAGCACCAAAAGGTAGCTCCCGCTAGAAGCTACCAAACTCTTCCAAGTGTTCCCTATTAAATGTATATAGTTACGTGACGTGTTACACTGCAAAGTATAGTAACACAGAAATGTAACTGTCGATTTTCTCAGCGGATAAAACGGGTACTATATTGTGAGGCGTAGTAATCTGAGGAGCGCTACGTCCGCGCACTAACTTCTCTCTGTACTACAAGTCACGCTGCTTCTATTGACGGAAGTGAGCGAGAGAGAAGTCTCCGGAGAGAAGTTAGTGCGCGGACGTAGCGCTCCTCAGATTACTACGCCTCACAATATAGTACCCGTTTTATCCGCTGAGAAAATCGACAGTTACATTTCTGTGTTACTATACTTTGCAGTGTAACACGTCACGTAACTATATACATTTAATAGGGAACACTTGGAAGAGTTTGGTAGCTTCTAGCGGGAGCTACCTTTTGGTCCTACACAGTATACAGAGGAGGCTGCGTTTGTGCTCCCGTTTTTGCTCCGTTTGCATGACAGAGCGCACGGACTAAGATCACACAGGTACGTATTAACTAGTCTAAGGTAAGGTAAGAACATATGTCAGTATGTAAAAACGGTGAACTATTCCTTTAATTCAAACTATAGATGTAGTGATTAATGTGGAGTTTTACCGTCGAACCAGGAGCCGTGCAGAGCTTTGAAGGCCTTCCCCGAGTGCTCTGCAGACAGACACTTCACGTACACACAACCCTGACACACACACAGTTAGAAACTCATGTCAGAAACATAGAACCAGGACTAGAGAGCGTGCGAGGGGCTTTAGGACCACGCGTCTCACCTCTCTGGAGTTCTTGTCGACAGCGATGTGGACGATGCCGTTGTTGTCGCTGCACTTCTCCAGGATGGCCTGGTGAATGGCCAGGTCCCAGTTCTCCCCCACCTCCCTGAACACAGCAGGAAAGTGTCAATGTGAGAACCACAACTGGACATTATCATTATCATCATCATCCAGGGGTCGCCAGGATCTCACCCCAAATATGATACATCCTGTCGGCCATGAGCCGGTGGTGTTGGGTTAATATATGAATATATGAACACAACTGGAGTCATTACAAACTGGACCACTCACTGAGTGAGCGAGAGAGTCACAGACAGAGAGACAGAGAGAGAGAGAGAGAGACAGAGAGAGAGAGACAGAGGACAGACAGAGACAGTCACAGAGACAGTCACAGAGAGAGAGAGAGACGACACAGAGACAGAGAGACAGACACACAGAGAGACAGACACACAGAGACAGAGTCACAGAGAGACAGACACACAGAGAGACAGACACACAGAGAGACAGACACACAGAGACAGAGTCACAGAGAGACAGACACACAGAGAGACAGACACACAGAGACAGAGTCACAGAGAGACAGACACACAGACACAGACAGAGACACACAGCAAGAGAGACAGAGTCACAGAGAGACAGACACACAGACAGAGACACACAGCAAGAGAGACAGAGTCACAGAGAGACAGACACACAGACAGAGAGAGAGAGACAGTCACAGAGGAGCACAGACTCACATGACTGGGTCAAACATGTTCCGGATCTTCAGACACGGCGTCAGGCTGTTGGGAGGAGAGTTCCTTCTGTCCAGAGGGAAAGCTACAGACACACACAGACACACACAGACACACACAGACCAGGTCAGTGAAATGCCATCCTCTCTCCCCTCTCTCTCTGGTCATTTATTTATTTATTTTATATCTATAGCGATCATATCTATCTTTCTATATTTTATATTATATAAAGCTGCAGCCTTTTCCACCGTGTACCTTTCCCTTGCCAGACTTTGGAGGAGGCCATGTTGGACTTGTCTCCCAGTGAAGGCTGGATCCACCTCCAGACCAGGAAGTCCGCTCCTCCGATGCGCTGACTCTCGGTCCGGATCCGGGACTCGTTTGCAGAGAGAAACTTCACAGCTCGATCCCAAACCTTCTGCAGCTTCTTCCTGTGGACGGAGGCCAAGAGAGGTTAAAAACTGTTAAACACAAGCAGGTCTGGAGCAGGTCTAGAGCAGGTCTAGAGCAGGACCACAGACCTGTCCTGGGGGTGGACCAGAGAGTCCCGGACGTGGGGGATGGGCAGATATGGCTGCAGCTCCTGGTTCTCTAGACACGCTTCACTGTGGCTCCTCAGAACATCTGCACAAACAACAGCTCAGTCACAGACCTGCAGTCGCTTTTAGCTTCATCCACGACGGGATGGTTCAGAGCCGATCAGGCAAACAACCGTTTCAGGTGACTTTATTAAACAGCGTTTGATGTTGAGCCAAAATACAATTAAACCCTGATACTAGCACTTTGAAGTTTCCTGGACGTGTAAGGTGCAATAAAAATGAATGGTATTAGTGCACGTGTCTCACCGATGATGCGCTCCACCATGTCGTACATGAGTCTAGTCTCCTCTTCTTCTCGTCTCCAGCGAAACTTGACGTAACAGACCACGCCCCAAGCTCCGCCCACCACTGCAAAGACACACACGTTTAGAGCCGGCGCTGCGCAGGAGAAAGCACCAGCTCTTGAGCGCTCGTACCCGCCGCCAACAGCAGCACTTTGCAGATGACCGAGAAGAAGGCTCGTCTGAAGCGGCAGGTGAAAGGCATTCTGGGATGTGTGGACTCCAACTGCTCGATCTCAGAGACGTCAGACAGAGGCTCACTGGACTCTGCTCCCATAAGGCTGAGGAGCACAGGCACTTTACTGAGAGACCACACACTGAGGAGCACAGGCACTTTACTGAGAGACCACACACTGAGGAGCTCAGGCACTTTACTGAGAGACCACACACTGAGGAGCTCAGGCACTTTACTGAGAGACCACACACTGAGGAGCTCAGGCACTTTACTGAGAGACCACACACTGAGGAGCTCAGGCACTTTACTGAGAGACCACACACTGAGGAGCTCAGGCACTTTACTGAGAGAGACTACACACTGAGGAGCTCAGGCACTTTACTGAGAGAGACTACACACTGAGGAGCACAGGCACTTTACTGAGACCACACACTGAGGAGCACAGGCACTTTACTGAGACCACACACTGAGGAGCACAGGCACTTTACTGAGAGACCACACACTGAGGAGCACAGGCACTTCACTGAGATACTACACACTGAGGAGCACAGGCACTTTACTGAGAGACCACACACTGAGGAGCACAGGCACTTTACTGAGAGACCACACACTGAGGAGCACAGGCACTTTACTGAGAGACCACACACTGAGGAGCACAGGCACTTTACTGAGAGACCACACACTGAGGAGCTCAGGCACTTTACTGAGAGACTACACACTGAGGAGCACAGGCACTTTACTGAGAGACCACACACTGAGGAGCTCAGGCACTTTACTGAGAGAGACTACACACTGAGGAGCTCAGGCACTTTACTGAGAGAGACTACACACTGAGGAGCACAGGCACTTTACTGAGACCACACACTGAGGAGCACAGGCACTTTACTGAGACCACACACTGAGGAGCACAGGCACTTCACTGAGATACTACACACTGAGGAGCACAGGCACTTTACTGAGAGACCACACACTGAGGAGCACAGGCACTTTACTGAGAGAGACTACACACTGAGGAGCACAGGCACTTTACTGAGACCACACACTGAGGAGCACAGGCACTTTACTGAGAGACCACACACTGAGGAGCACAGGCACTTTACTGAGAGACCACACACTGAGGAGCTCAGGCACTTTACTGAGAGACTACACACTGAGGAGCACAGGCACTTTACTGAGAGACCACACACTGAGGAGCTCAGGCACTTTACTGAGAGAGACTACACACTGAGGAGCACAGGCACTTTACTGAGACCACACACTGAGGAGCACAGGCACTTTACTGAGAGACCACACACTGAGGAGCACAGGCACTTCACTGAGATACTACACACTGAGGAGCACAGGCACTTTACTGAGACCACACACTGAGGAGCACAGGCACTTTACTGAGAGACCACACACTGAGGAGCTCAGGCACTTTACTGAGACCACACACTGAGGAGCACAGGCACTTTACTGAGAGACTACACACTGAGGAGCACAGGCACTTTACTGAGAGAGACTACACACTGAGGAGCACAGGCACTTTACTGAGAGACCACACACTGAGGAGCACAGGCACTTTACTGAGAGACCACACACTGAGGAGCACAGGCACTTTACTGAGACCACACACTGAGGAGCACAGGCACTTTACTGAGACCACACACTGAGGAGCACAGGCACTTTACTGAGACCACACACTGAGGAGCACAGGCACTTTACTGAGACCACACACTGAGGAGCACAGGCACTTTACTGAGAGACCAAAGAAACCAAACCAAAGAACAAATCAGAGCAAATTTTATTCCGGCTCCAGCATTAGTTTACAAAACTAAACTCTGGGACAGAAGCTTCCTCAGTTGGACCACATCTGGATTCACAAAGACATCCCAATCATTGACATTTTTTTTATCTAAGTGAAAAGAGTCAAACTTCACCACGAGCTAAGGTTACTCTGTCCATCTGAATACTTTACCATCTGAAGGACAAGCACTTTACTGAGCAGAAGGCTCAAAGAGCATCAGGAGAGCGTCCTCACGTTAACTGACCTTATGCCCACGTCCTGCCCCGTCCTCAGGATCCACTCCAGAGACACCAGCAGGAGGCCTTTAAACTGCTCATGCTGCGTCTGGACAAAGAACCAGGACTTAAAACAACTGTAAGAGACGTGTGATTATAGAAAGAAGGAACACTGTTGGAACAAAGACAAAGTCCAGAAAAAACAGGAAGGGGAACTGACATTTTATAAAACCTCAGATGGAAAACTACTGGATTAGTCAAATGGGAAAGACTGTTTCACCTGTAAGTACGCGGTGGCCTCTTCTATGGACAGACTGCGGCTCACGTTCTGGTTCCCACAGTCAAAGTCTCCTGGAAACAGCACATTTATATTGGTTTCAAGTAAAACAGCTCATATATAAAAAGGGAACTATAGGAGCGCTTCACCTCCCCTCAAAAGGTCAGGATAGAAACAATATTAAAGTTATAAACTTTAATATTTATAACATCTATAAAACCAGGCGGGAGCATTGAGAAAAAGCGTAGGTCCAAGTATTCATCCCTGGGGAACCCCCTTTTTGCAGAACACAGCAGGAAACAAAACGGCCAAATTCAACTCAAAAACCAGACTCTGATCTAGTGCTCCAGAGAAAAGTTTCCATAGACTTTGTGTAAAGTTCTTCACCAATAATACAGCTCTGCAGCGTCTGACCTTCCAGAGGTCTCTGGACACATAGTTGGTTGGTTATTTTTATTTGAGCAATCTTAGTATGAACATGTTGAACAATCAGTACTGAGTGTGTGAAAGTGCTCAAAGGAGTAGGAAGAAGAGAGGACTTATAAACTCCTCCCTCTTTCTCCATTCAGTGTATTGTGTGACAGTTGTTGGAGCTTCTATATGTTATGTGTAACATTGAAATATATATGACAAGTTCTATACATTGAGTGTTTAAAATACAAGTGTACAACAAAGTTAATATCCTAATATTAGTGATGGTCTCCGAGCTGTTACTTCTGTAGTTTATTATAAACTTGCAAGTTCTCATCTATATGTATTTATTTCAGGTTAGCTTTATGATTGAAATGATCAGAGGCTAAATCACATTTTGGTACAAGAAGATCTCAATGTAGTTTATTCGTTGGAATTCATTCAAATTGATCTTTCAGTGTTACCCTGGATCAGATTATTGTTTGTTAATTAATTGCTTGTATAACATCTTGAAAACAGATATTTGCACAGCTTTAAATCATCGTTTAGACTATTCCATAAACTCCAAATCGTGTCCTGGAAAAGTGTTTTTCAATTTGGAGTTCTGTTATATTTTAAATTTTTTTTGTTCACGGAGGTGACTTTATATAACAGCAGTATGTGTTCACGGAGGTGACTTTATATAACAGCAGTATGTGTTCACGGAGGTGACTTTATATAACAGCAGTATGTGTTCACGGAGGTGACTTTATATAACAGCAGTATGTGTTCACGGAGGTGACTTTATATAACAGCAGTATGTGTTCACGGAGGTGACTTTATATAACAGCAGTATGTGTTCACGGTGACTTTATATAACAGCAGTATGTGTTCACGGTGACTTTATATAACAGCAGTATGTGTTCACGGTGACTTTATATAACAGCAGTATGTGTTCACGGTGACTTTATATAACAGCAGTATGTGTTCACAGAGGTGACTTTATATAACAGCAGTATGTGTTCACGGTGACTTTATATAACAGCAGTATGTGTTCACAGTGACTTTATATAACAGCAGTATGTGTTCACGGAGGTGACTTTATATAACAGCAGTATGTGTTCACGGTGACTTTATATAACAGCAGTATGTGTTCACGGTGACTTTATATAACAGCAGTATGTGTTCACGGTGACTTTATATAACAGCAGTATGTGTTCACGGTGACTTTATATAACAGCAGTATGTGTTCACGGTGACTTTATATAACAGCAGTATGTGTTCACAGAGGTGACTTTATATAACAGCAGTATGTGTTCACGGTGACTTTATATAACAGCAGTATGTGTTCACAGTGACTTTATATAACAGCAGTATGTGTTGACAGAGGTGCGCAATAAGTTTATTTTTTTATTAATTGGTATTTCCGCATCGGCGAACACGCTCAAAGCAGTTGCATAAAGTCACGGGACCATGACAACGCATGTTAACAAGCACTATGTCAGTCCTGGTTTAGCTCCGGGTTTAGCTCCTGACTAGGGCTGGGACAACGCGTCGACGTAATCGGTGACGTCGACGCAAAAAATACACCGACGTATAATATGCGCGTCGGTGCGTCACACACAAAACAAAGATGGCGGCGAGCGGTAGCAATGCGAGTGCCGTGTTAGAGAAGTGCAAGCCGGTGTAACGCTGAGATACACTGCCTTGAAGAGATGCACAGCCTCAGCTGTTTATGATGTAATGCAAACCTGCGCATGCGCGTCTCACGGCAGCCGAAGCAAACCAAGATGGCGGACCGTGAATTTCTTTAAAAGTTAAAATACGAACGAATTCAGACACGAATGTCACTTTTAATGCAATTTGAGGCGATATGTTGATGGTTCCGTTTTGTCACATGTGGGTTTTAAGAGTCAAAGTTTCGTGCAAAGTTTAGTTTAAGCAGTCAACTGCGCCTGTGAAACCACAAAGCTAATGTTTTCATAGCAGTCCGCGGCTGCTGACGTAGGCTGATGACGCGTCCTGTGGCCACTCTACAGCTTACAACTAGTCTGTCTTTCTTTGTATCAAACGGAATATTGGCGCCCGTAATAGCCCCTACATGTATTATTCACTGTCATGCCCGCCGTATATGGACATTTTTCAACATGTGTTCAATATCCTTAATGTGTTTAACTGTTGATTGATTCTCTGATCTGTGTTGGTGACTTCAATGTTTTAAGTCCTCTGAGATGACTTCTACTGTATTCTTTCAGTAACTCTAAAAGAAAGGATGACTGGTTGACCTTTTTATTTGCTACACAATGCATTGCTTTTCTCTTGTACACTCTTACTTGAATTTTATTTTTGAATTTTGAGTTTAAGAAAAAGGTGAGCGGCAGAGTTTTGACTGTTATTTTTATATGAATGAAGAATTTAAGAGATGCACTTTAATTAATGGACTTCAGTAATATAGGCCTATGTGTCTTAAACTTAAATGTTAAACTTTGTCAGCCAGACGTTGAGAGAATGAGATGAGAATCAGCACCTCCAAATCCGAGGCCATGGTGCTCGACCGGAAAAAGGTGCCTTGCCCTCTGCAGGTGGGTGGAGAGGTCCTTCCTCAAGTGGAGGAGTTCAAGTATCTCGGGGTCTTGTTCACGAGTGAGGGAAGAATGGAGCGTGAGATTGACAGGCGGATTGGTGCAGCGTGCGCAGTGATGCGGTCGCTGTATCGGACCGTTGTGGTGAAGAGGGAGCTGAGCCGAAAGGCAAAGCTCTTGATTTACCGGTCAATCTTCGTTCCCTCCCTCACCTATGGTCATGAGCTTTGGGTAATGACCGAAAGAACGAGATCGCGGATACAAGCGGTCGAAATGAGCTTCCTCCGCAGAGTGGCTGCTCCCTTAGAGATAGGGTGAGGAGCTCAGTCACACGGGAGGAGCTCGGAGTAGAGCCGCTGCTTCTCCACGTCGAGAGGAACCAGTTGAGGTGGCTCGGGCATCTGTTCCGGATGCCTCCTGGACGCCTCCCTGGGGAGGTGTTCCGGGCACGTCCCACCGGGAGGAGGCCCCGGGGAAGACCCAGGACACGCTGGAGGGACTATGTCTCTCAGCTGGCCTGGGAATGCCTTGGGGTCCCCCCGGACGAGCTGGAGGAGGTGTGTGTGGATAGGGAAGTCTGGGCGTCTCTGCTTAGACTGCTGCCCCCGCGACCCGGCAACGGATAAAGCGGAAGAAAATGGATGGGTGGATGGATGGATGTTAAACTCTGTTGGTTCAGGAAGGACGCCATGACAGGCTGATGGCTCCCACTGTTTTTGCTGGAAAAGCACTCTTTGTTTAGCTTAAAGCCTTCAAGTTTACATTGGTTACTGTTTTCTTTTAGTTGCTCTACACAAGTATTTGGCTGAACTTTTTCATATTTTTATTGAATGCTAAGCATCAAATGTTTGTTTCAAGAATGATAAGATGCACTTTTTTCAGTAAGCTGTGTTTTCAAGGCTTTAAGGTTTTATGCTACCTCTAAGAATGTCTTATTTTTGAATTTTAAGAGCAAGCAATACATATTTTTTGTGAAGGAATTCATGTTTTTTTCATTAAAATATTTAAATCAACATGTATACATCAATATTAGTCAATTAATGGGGAGATAATCGAGAATTGAAGCGAAGCGAAAAAAATAATCGTTAGATTAATCGATGCTTCGAAAAAATAATCGCTAGATTAATCGTTTAAAAAATAATCGTTTATCCCAGCCCTACTCCTGACAGTATGTTCAGTCTGCTTGCTGAGACGCTAATGTCCCCGTGACCACTGCAGCTCTGATTGGTTGCTGCACGACCGTCTGAGGAAAAGCTCAGCAATATTTATCTCCTGCGTGCGTCGATTTTCCGCTCCTGCGTTTCTGGCCCGCAGGCCGAGGGTCTCTGGCCCGCAGGCCGAGGGTCTCTGGCCCGCAGGCCGAGGGTCTCTGGCCCACAGGCCGTGCGTCCCTAGACGAACATGCAGTTTGACGCTTGAACGCGCGTCACCATCAACTTTGCATTGAAAGTCGACGCAGCATGATCTGGTGTGAAAGCGCCATAAAGCTTTAAATGCGGAGCTTTGACTGCAGCCGCTGCTCCCTCTTGTCTGATGTCTCCAACTTCAATCAGCACATGTTTGACTTCACCCTTTCTTGTTGTGGACAAACCTGCGACTGAAGCCAAGTGGTCGTGAAGACGCAGCAGCAGATCCAGAATCAGGTCTCTGTCCGTCTTGTTCTGATAATAAATAGTTTTAGTTAATTGTTTGGGACCAAAAGTTCATAACATTTGTGTGAAGAAAAGTGACTCACATAAGAATCGTCGAACTCTGGGCCGAACGGGTGACTACGGACTGGAAGAAGAGTCATACTGTTAGAGCTCAACCTTTTATTGTGTTCATCCTTAAAACTGGAAAGGATATGTAGAAAAGATGTTATGACAAAGTTAGCATGAGACTTTAGATGAGAGCTCCTTAGACCGTGTACAATTGGACAAAATACATGTGTGGAAACTAGTTTTAGAGTGTGGTCTGAGAGTTGCGTAACCCAGCTTTAGTATAACCAGCGTGTGTGCGGCGGTCACTCACTGGTCTCGCTGCTGGCCCCTCCCTCAGCTCCTCCCCTCATCCTCACGTACACCAGCCCCAAAGTGAGGAAGAAGAGGCCGGCCGCACACAGCAGCAGCATGGACAGGTAGTGTGCGCTGACTGTGGCAGAGCGTGACGTCTGAGGGTCCTGTCTGAACTGTTGGAGCAGCTCGTCCTCGGGGCCCGGGCTCCTCTGGGGGCTACGCTGGGGGCTGTGGTGAGGGCCAGGGTGTGGGCTGTGGTGGGGGCCGGAGTGGTTCAGGTGGTTCCCTCTTAGTGACTGAAGAGAAGAAGAACACAGTCAGGGGGAAGCAGCACAGGACTGGAGCTTCCAGACAGAGGTGAGACCAGAGCATAAGTAACATCACAACTGACACTAGTGTTGTTCACAAACCGGTCTGACCGCTGTGGTCCCAGTCTACATCAGACCACTCTGATATACCACACACTGACTGATATTTACTGATCAAAAAGAGGCCATGGAGGTATGGGCTAAAATACAGCACAATATACCTGTGATTTTCTGCGCTCGTATTGTCCACATGAGTACCGCCCACATGAGTACCGCCCACATGAGTACCGCCCACATGAGTACCGTCCACATGAGTACCGTCCACATGAGTACCGCCCACATGAGTACCGCCCACATGAGTACCGCCCACATGAGTACCGCCCACATGAGTACCGCCCACATGAGTACCGCCCACATGAGTACCGCCCACATGCGTACCGTCCTATACCTAATTGAGAATACAGGAGAGATGTGGTTTCTCTCGTGGCTCGGCCTGTACCTGTGGCGCGCTGCTGTAGGGGGAGAAGCGCGAGCGCAGCCCAGAGTTGGTGTAGGAGTAGAGTCCGCAGGCGTCCTCTCGCCCACCGCCCACGTGGTTGTTGGCGCCTGCCTCGGCGCCACGCTGCTGGAAACCAGAGGAGCCGTCGTGCAGCGGTTTGTTCAGATCTGCTCCGATCGGCTCACGGCGTCTGGGCTCCACGAAGACCTGCGGCTGAGGTCAGAGGTCAGTCATCTACATCTGTTTGTACGCAGCTGAGGCGCCTGATTTTACACTACCCACACATTTGCTGCTCTCAAACTCACTATATTTCACATGTACCATTCAAGATCAGGTGGAACAGTCTTCCCGAAGCTGTGAGACGGGCCTCTACCCTGACCATGTTCAAAGTAGGATGAAAACATCTGTTTTTTGTGCAAACACTGATTCTATTTAGACCCATTTATTTTAAGAGTTAAGCCCAATACTTTAAGATTAAACCGTTGTATATTGGAGGCATCTACTGCATTTTGATGTGTTTTAATTGCTTTTGTGAAGACCTAGGAATGGCCTTGTACACAAATAAATATTGATGAGAGCCACACTCAAAAGGGCTCTCACAGTCTGCCAAATGAACTAAAAACGAAGAGGGCCTGTTGAGTCTCTGCAGGACAAACATGCATCTCCTCTTCAGTCCCTCACGGTTACATGATCAGGGTCTTCCCATTCTAACTCAGGTCTTAAATGCAAAAATACTTCAATGCAGGGAGTCATCCATCATACACTTTTGAAACTAGGTTCCAGAGACAGGGCAGGAGAGAGGAACCAGAGACAGGGCAGGAGAGAGGGACCAGAGACAGGGCAGGAGAGAGGGACCAGAGACAGGGCAGAAGAGAGGGACCAGAGACAGGGCAGAAGAGAGGGACCAGAGACAGGGCAGAAGAGAGGGACCAGAGACAGGGCAGAAAGAGAGGGACCAGAGACAGGGCAGAAGAGAGGGACCAGAGACAGGGCAGAAGAGAGGGACCAGAGACAGGGCAGAAGAGAGGGACCAGAGACAGGGCAGAAGAGAGGGACCAGAGACAGGGCAGAAGAGAGGGACCAGAGACAGGGCAGAAGAGAGGGACCAGAGACAGGGCAGAAGAGAGGGACCAGAGAGGTCGCGTGAATCATCCATACATATACATTTTTGAAACCATTTTCTAGTGGAAATAAGTAAAAACTCTAAACACTGCTCCGTAGTTACTGTCTCTGCAGAGATTCTGAGACAGTTGCGTCATCACCTCTTCCTGATGAACTCGCTGGTGCCACTTGGAACATGACAACGATGCCGTATGGGTTTGTGTCCTGCTGAAGCTTGTGAGCCGACCAACGCCATCACAACTACATCTCCTGAAGTCTAATGGGGCTTTCAGACCGCCAACGCTGAAATGCGGAAGCCCCGCTCACCAGACGCGCATTCTCTAGTTTTCAGACGCAGAGGACTTCACACCAGAACGTCCTGACGCGAGCCGGAAGTAGCCGGCCGGCTCTAATGCTAACAGAGCTATGCTAGTGGCTTCTTGTGTACAGATCTTCTCCAATATGCAGCTTTGCAGCGAGTCTTTGAACAGACTTTCCACAGACTTTATATAACAGCAGTATGTGTTCACGGAGGTGACTTTATATAACAGCAGTATGTGTTCACGGAGGTGACTTTATATAACAGCAGTATGTGTTCACGGAGGTGACTTTATATAACAGCAGTATGTGTTCACGGTGACTTTATATAACAGCAGTATGTGTTCACGGTGACTTTATATAACAGCAGTATGTGTTCACGGTGACTTTATATAACAGCAGTATGTGTTCACGGTGACTTTATATAACAGCAGTATGTGTTCACGGAGGTGACTTTATATAACAGCAGTATGTGTTCACGGAGGTGACTTTATATAACAGCAGTATGTGTTCACAGTGACTTTATATAACAGCAGTATGTGTTCACGGAGGTGACTATATAACAGCAGTATGTGTTCACGGAGGTGACTTTATATAACAGCAGTATGTGTTCACGGAGGTGACTTTATATAACAGCAGTATGTGTTCACGGAGGTGACTTTATATAACAGCAGTATGTGTTCACGGAGGTGACTTTATATAACAGCAGTATGTGTTCACGGAGGTGACTTTATATAACAGCAGTATGTGTTCACGGAGGTGACTTTATATAACAGCAGTATGTGTTCACGGTGACTTTATATAACAGCAGTATGTGTTCACGGAGGTGACTTTATATAACAGCAGTATGTGTTCACGGAGGTGACTTTATATAACAGCAGTATGTGTTCACAGTGACTTTATATAACAGCAGTATGTGTTCACGGAGGTGACTATAACAGCAGTATGTGTTCACGGAGGTGACTTTATATAACAGCAGTATGTGTTCACGGAGGTGACTTTATATAACAGCAGTATGTGTTCACGGAGGTGACTTTATATAACAGCAGTATGTGTTCACAGAGGTGACTTTATATAACAGCAGTATGTGTTCACGGAGGTGCGCAACAAGTTTTTCATATTATTAAACAGTATTTCCGCATCGGCAAACACACTCGAAGCCGTTGCATAAGGTCACAGGAGCATGATAACGCATATTTTCACAAGCACAGAGTCCCCCATTGTCAACCCTGGTTTGAGTTCTGGTGAAGTCTGGTGTGGGTCCTGTTTTGGCTGTTTACAGTATTTTCAGTCTGCTCGCTCAGTCCGCTAATGTCCCCGTGACCACTTTGCTGCTCTCTGATTGGTTGTCGCACGAACGTCCCAAGGAAAGGATGAGCAGAATCTATCTCCTGTGGGCGTTGATTTTTCGCTCCTGCTCCTCCCTTTTCACTTTCCCGCCAAGTCCCTGCGTTTTATTGAACAGTCCGTCCGTGCCGAGAGGTCCGTGCGTTGTGACGGTCGAACGCGCGCCATCATAGACTTTGCATTGAAACCCGACGCAACGCATGATCCGGTCTGAAAGCACCATAACATGAAGACAGCGGCTTATATTACATATGCAAACTAAATTGACTACGCAGTTTCCATAAAACTACAATTAACCAGTATCTGGGGAAATGCCTTGGTAACCATGGCACTCTGGCCAATCACTGTCAGAACACTTTAGTAGTAGTACCAGTTCCGCCTGGACAGAACCAGGACCAAGAGGGACTAAAGGAGGACCTGGTACTGGTTACACAGGACCAGGGGAGAGAGGAGTAGGGCTGGTGGGCTTCAGGAACATCACAAGCATGATGGCCATCCCAACAAGGAAGTTAGATCATTGATACAAGAATCAACAGTTTGGTGAAAATACTAGTCAAACCTGTCACTTAAGTACCAGGTGACCAACTTACTTATCTAAAAGAAAATTAGTAAGACAGTGTTTGAACTTTAAAGCTGATGATGTTTATCCAAACACAAAGTGAACAAATCCGACCACACAGTCTTCAGATTAGAAAATAATTTGAGTCACCATTTGACTGTTTGGGCTGATGGCTGAGTGAGGTTGGACCCCTCTTTTCACTTTACTGTCTGAAAAGGTCTAACCAAAGACGTGACAGACAAGAAATACAAACATGCACCAAACTGTGGAGGGCGATACATGAGGTTTAATTTATGACACATTTAGTGGGTTGAAGTCAGGCACCTCAGCTTTAAAACAGAAATGGGTGAGATCCATACTTGCGTCTCGTCTCCGCGCAGTCGCACCATCTCTGGAGGTTTAACGTGTTTATGAACGGTGACCCTCCGTGGACCGGGCCGACTGCTCCCGCTGCTGTTCCCGGCCACAGCAGCCTCCTCCTCCGAGTCAGAGTAGTCCCCAATCGGCCTCGCTTTCACCAAAGTCCTGCTGCCGTTTACGGAGCGTGGAGTGAACTCCTGGGGCTCCTCGTAGTCCTCTTCCTCCCCAGAATCCTCCTTTTCCACTTCTGTAGTGCTATTAGTGGCAGCGCTGGCTCTGCTTCTATCCCAGCTCAGAGGTGGGCTCCTCGGGCTGACGAACATGGCATCACCGCTCCTCTCACCGCTCCTCTCGCCGCTCCTCTCACCGCTCCTCACGCCGCTCCTCTCACCGCTCCTCACGCCGCTCCTCTCACCGCTCCTCACGCCGCTCCTCTCGCCGCTCCTCTCACCGCTCCTCACGCCGCTCCTCTCGCCGCTCCTCTCACCGCTCCTCACGCCGCTCCTCTCGCCGCTCCTCTCACCGCTCCTCTCGCCGCTCCTCTCACCGCTGATACTACCACTCACCGCGGGGCACAGTGGCTTCACATTCACCGAGCTCTTACCCCGAGCTCCGTGGTTCGCGCTCTTCCGCTTGTGCGTAGCTTCGGCGTCCGACTCGTCCGAGCTGAAGCCGAGCACAGTGGACTTCCGGTCGGGTCTGGCTCTGGTCTTGGCGCCTCCGGAGCTAGTGCTAATGCTAATGCTAACGCCGCCGCTGCTGCTGTTGGAAGCCGTGGAACGAGCCTTGCCCTGGGCCTTGCTCTGCCTCAGCCCGCCCCGGTGCTGCTCGTTTGTGTCCTCCCGGAGCTTCTTGAGTTTCTTCAGGTACACGGGCCGGGTCTGCTCGGTGACGGGGCCCGGGCTGAAGCCGAGGCGCCGCAGCTCCGAGAACAGCTCTTCGTCCGTTAGCTGCGCGGACGCCATCTTGGATCGAGCTCTGGGGGAGAAGGAGGGCCGAGGGCGGGAAGTGACGACCAACTACCGGGGTTTTATTTTTGTCGCTGAGACTGAAGACGTTTTGTTTATTTATGTTTTAACACTTTCTGCTGATAAACTTTCATAATTATACATTGCAAATAATACATTCTTTGACAGGAGTCTCCGTCCAAAAATCAGTAAAATGACCTCCTTCCTAGATGTGTCAATGTGGGCTCTGTGGGGTCACCAGGAGGAGACCAGGAGGAGACCAGGAGGAGACCAGGAGGAGACCAGGAGGAGACCAGGAGGAGACCAGGAGGAGTGGAGATATTATGGACTTGGTGGTGCTCCTGGTGACCACTGAACATTGAGCACAGCGCCCTCCTCTGGCTGAATTATGCCACAACGCATAGTCCATACTTTTTAAAACTCAACAGAAACGCGCACAGTGTGATGATGATGAATCAAGAGCTGCATTTATGTGACTGAGCATGAGATCAACACACTGTAGACTTATCACACGGCTCCAAAGTGGCCAAAATGACGTGCGCTGACATGCTGCGATACCACCCCGGGCCGATGGGGGTAGACCCGGAATAAGAATTAGCCAATGCTAACATATAGCATCTTCTTCCCTCTCGAAAACGTCTTTACAGGATGGTCCAAAAGTCGGCTCTTGGCCCAAAGCTCCGTTCCACATGTGTGTCAATGCTGAGGGGAGTGTTCTAGACCAGTCTAGTTTAGCTGCTGTGGATTTGAGAAGTCTCTCGTTTAAATGAATGGAGCTCGTGCAGCTGACGCATGCACAGATGCGTTTTTTTCACATTCTCCAGCCCCCGCGGCCATTTTGAATCACTCCATGAGAGCCCAATTTTTGGCCCATTAGTTAGAACGGCGGAGATAGGCGTGACTACGTCCATTAATATTTACAGACTATGGTCCTATCTATTATATAGCTATATAGCTATATATATAGCTATTTGGCCTACGTGCAGAACAACTGCAAGACACTACAGACTCTGATTGTGCTTCCATGTTATGACTATGATCTGCTCTGATTTGACACGTACTGTCTTTCAATGTGTGACGTAACAATGACTATAAAACCATGTCTTGACTTTTGTTCTGTCTGAGAAAGAAAAACAACAGAAACCACTGGAACTTGAGAGAAACCTAATAAACTTCCAGAACACGGCGCTCCACGATCCGTCTCTGTCTGGTTCATTCTTGACAGTCCAAATACATATATTACTAATATGAGCATGGCTTTCCCCTGTGCTCTTAAATGCATCTGCTGGCAGTATCAGAGTCTAGTTTCCGTGGTTACATGCAGTGTAAACGCAGCAGAAATGACCATGTGGAGGTCTCTGAGAAGCACAGCGGTCGCTTTTACAAAACTAAACTCTTTATTGGAATGAGCAAAATAAATAGCATTTCCAGTGTGTGTCGAAAAAACAGACAGAGAAACATTTACATTTGTACAGACGGCTCAAACATGTGGGATTACAATGTCAGTAGGAAATTGGACTTTTAGGCAAATATAAAGTTAAAAACAGATTCTCTTTGCATAATTAATCGCATCCAAAGAACCAGTTCCCAACAGGTGTCCAAGTTGGCTGCCAGATCAGTAACCCAGTTGTCCTTCAGCAGCTTCAAGTCTTTGGTCTCCAGTCTCTAATCAAATCCCTGGTCTCGTCTCTGCTTCAGTCTCTGCTTCAGTCTCTGCCTCAGTCTCTGCCTCAGTCTCTGCTTTAGTCCTGCTTTAGTCCTCTTTAGTCCTCTTTAGTCATCTTTAGTCCTGCTTTAGTCCTGCTTTAGTCCTGCTTTAGTCCTGCTTTAGTCCTGCTTTAGTCCTGCTTTAGTCCTGCTTTAGTCCTGCTTTAGTCCTGCTTTAGTCCTGCTTTAGTCCTGCTTTAGTCCTGCTTTAGTCCTGCTTCAGTCCTGCTTCAGTCCTGCTTCAGTCCTGCTTCAGTCCGGTCCGTCCTGGGTTCAGATGCAGACTCCTTTGACCAGCGAGGGTTCCAGTCTCAGGGGAAACTGGTGCAGCGTCATCAGGACTTGGCTCAGACTGTTCACAGCTGAAAGGTCTCGCAGCAGAGCCCAGTCCTCGTACAGCTGCAGAGCTACAGGACTGGAGGCCAGCAGGGGGAGCCACTGAGCCAGAGCATGGTCCCTGCCACAGACACCAGGACAACGTTGAGACAGACACATGAACACTTAAAGCTGCAGTACCTAACTTTATTAATAACAGAAAGTTCAGTCAGACCACAACAGGCTGTCTTCCCCTCAGTAGAAAACGAGCCCTTTGAGTCACTATTGGACTTTTAACTTCACTTTTGTCTTCTGAATGCCCAAATAAACACACTTGACTGACTGTTTGGGCTGAGGGCGAGTCTCTCTGGTCTCTCTTTCTCTGGTCTCTCTCTCTGGTCTCTGTCGCTCTTTGCTCTCTGGTCTCCCGCTCTCTGGTCTCCCGCTCTCTGGTCTCCCGCTCTCTGGTCTCCCGCTCTCTGGTCTCTCTCTATGGTCTCTCTCTATGGTCTCTCTCTATGGTCTCTCTCTCTATGGTCTCTCTCTATGGTCTCTCTCTATGGTCTCTCTTTCTCTGGTCTCTGGTCTCTCTCTCTCTGGTCTCTCTTTCTCTGGTCTCTCTCTCTCTGGTCTCTCTCGCTCTTTGCTCTCTCTCGCTCTCTGGTCTCTCGCTCTCTGGTCTCTCTCTATGGTCTCTCTTTCTCTGGTCTCTCTTTCTCTGGTCTCGCTCTCTCTGGTCTCGCTCTCTCTGGTCTCGCTCTCTCTCTGGTCTCTCTCTCTCTGGTCTCTCTCTCTCTGGTCTCTCTCTCTCTATGGTCTCTCTCTCTCTATGGTCTCTCTCTCTCTATGGTCTCCCGCTCTCTGCTCTCTGGTCTCCCGCTCTCTGGTCTCCCGCTCTCTGGTCTCCCGCTCTCTGGTCTCCCGCTCTCTGGTCTCTCTCTATGGTCTCTCTCTATGGTCTCTCTCTCTATGGTCTCTCTCTATGGTCTCTCTCTATGGTCTCTCTTTCTCTGGTCTCTGGTCTCTCTCTCTGGTCTCTCTCGCTCTTTGCTCTCTGGTCTCCCGCTCTCTGGTCTCCCGCTCTCTGGTCTCCCGCTCTCTGGTCTCTCTCTATGGTCTCTCTCTCTATGGTCTCTCTCTATGGTCTCTCTCTATGGTCTCTCTTTCTCTGGTCTCTCTCTCTCTGGTCTCTCTTTCTCTGGTCTCTCTCTCTCTGGTCTCTCTCGCTCTTTGCTCTCTCTCGCTCTCTGGTCTCTCGCTCTCTGGTCTCTCTCGCTCTTTGCTCTCTCTCGCTCTCTGGTCTCTCGCTCTCTGGTCTCTCTCTATGGTCTCTCTTTCTCTGGTCTCTCTTTCTCTGGTCTCTCTTTCTCTGGTCTCTCTCTCTCTGGTCTCGCTCTCTCTCTGGTCTCTCTCTCTCTGGTCTCTCTCTCTCTGGTCTCTCTCTCTCTATGGTCTCTCTCTCTATGGTCTCTCTCTCTCTATGGTCTCTCTCTCTCTATGGTCTCTCTCTCTGAAAAAGCTGTTCTAAGTCAATATGAGCCAGAGTGGAAAACTTCATCCATGAGCACTTCCCTCTTGGACTTCATTGAGCTAGCGTTAGCATTGTCCATGTGTATACAGTGTATGGGCCTGCAGTGTTGTGTGTGTCCAGCAGGTGGCGCTCTTGTACCTGGTGCCCAGACAGACCAGCAGCTGGAACTTCCCGTCCTTCCCGACGCTCCGAGACGACGAGTTTATGGCCTCAACGTATCGACCGAGAGGACGAGTCTGGTCTGCAGAGCCCAGGTCTGAGCAGGCCCTCTCTGGGGACACAACTACAGGTCAACAACAACTACAGGTCAACAACAACTACAGGTCAACAACAACAACTACGGGTCAACAACAACAACTACAGGTCAACAACAACAACTACAACTATGGGTCAACAACAACAACTACAGGTCAACAACAACAACTACAGGTCAACAACAACAACTACGGGTCAACAACAACAACTACAGGTCAACAACAACAACTACAGGTCAACAACAACAACAACAACTACAGGTCAACAACAACAACAACTACAGGTCAACAATAACAAAAAATACGGGTCAACAACAACAACAACAACAACTACAGGTCAACAACAACAACAACTACAGGTCAACAACAACAACTACGGGTCAACAACAACAACAGGTCAACAACAACAACTACAGGTCAACAACAACAAATACGGGTCAACAACAACAACTACAGGTCAACAACAACAACTACCGGTCAACAACAACAACTACGGGTCAACAACAACAACTACAGGTCAACAACAACAACAACAACTACAGGTCAACAACAACAAATACAAGTCAACAACTACAGGTCAACAACAACAAATACAAGTCAACAACTACAGGTCAACAACAACAAATACAAGTCAACAACTACGGGTCAACAACAACAACTACCGGTCAACAACAACAACTACCGGTCAACAACAACAACTACAGGTCAACAACAACAACAACTACAGGTCAACAACAACAACAACAACTACAGGTCAACAACAACAACAACAACTACAGGTCAACAACAACAACTACTACAGGTCAACAACAACAACAACCGGTCAACAACAACAACAACTACAGGTCGCCAACAACAACAACTACAGGTCAACAACAACAACTACAGGTCGCCAACAACAACAACTACAGGTCAACAACAACAACTACAGGTCGCCAACAACAACAACTACAGGTCAACAATAATAGGGCAGCAGTGAGCAGCAGGGGGCAGCAGGGTGTCTCACTCACCCACAAAGTCCCAGATAAAGATGTTTTTGTGGAAACGTCGCGAAGATTTGAAGCCGTGAGAAAAAAGCTGCTCTAGAGCTGTCACCAGACCATCCTCCCCACACAGGTGCACTGTCAGACTGCCACGCTGCAGACAAGAGGCCAGTGGTGAGAGAGAGACACACACACAGGTGCACTGTCAGACTGCCACGCTGCAGACAAGAGGCCAGTGGTGAGAGAGAGACACACACACAGGTGCACTGTCAGACTGCGGACAAGAGGCCAGTGGTGAGAGAGAGACACACACACAGGTGCACTGTCAGACTGCGGACAAGAGGACAGTGGTGAGAGAGAGACACACACACACAGGTGCACTGTCAGACTGCGGACAAGAGGCCAGTGGTGAGAGAGAGAGAGACACACACACACCTCTTTCTCTGGTCTGTGGAAGTATTGTATCATGTTGTTGATGACTTCTCCCAAAGCGTCCTGGATCTGCCCCGAGCTCGGCTCTGAAACACAGAGGTACAGTGTAATCTGTGTGTGTGTGTGTGGTCTCTGTTTGTCTCTGTGTGTGTGAGCGTGTGTGTGCGTGTTGCAGTAGTCTCACTAATGCCGCTGGCCGTGATGCTGCTGAGGCTGACCCTCCGTGTGTGTGTGTCTCTGTGTGTGTGCACAGGTGAGCTCTGTGCAGTGTCCTCCTCTGCTCCAGCAGGGGGCAGCAGCTCCGCGATCAGCACCCGCTCCAGGCTCCCATCTCCCACACCAGAGCCGAGCCAACGGCCACACGGGAACCTGACACACACACACACACACACAGACACACACACACACACATACACACACACACAGAGACACACACACAGACACACACACAGACACACACACAGAGACACACACACAGACACACACACAGACACACACACAGAGACAAACACACATAGACACACACACAGACACACACACACACACACACACGCAGAGATACACAGAGACATCAGTCCTGGGTCTACAGCCTCAGTCCTGGGTCTACAGCCTCAGTCCTGGGTCTGCAGCCTCAGTCCTGGGTCTACAGCCTCAGTCCTGGGTCTACAGCCTCAGTCCTGGATCTACAGCCTCAGTCCTGGATCTACAGCCTCAGTCCTGGGTCTACAGCCTCAGTCCTGGGTCTACAGCCTCAGTCCTGGGTCTACAGCCTCAGTCCTGGGTCTACAGCCTCAGTCCTGGGTCTACACCCTCAGTCCTGGGTCTACAGCCTCAGTCCTGGGTCTACAGCCTCAGTCCTGGGTCTACAGCCTCAGTCCTGGGTCCTGACGTACTGATGGTACTGACCTGTAGGTGTGACCAGAGGGACTGATGGTACTGACCTGTAGGTGTGACCAGAGGGACTGATGGTACTGACCTGTAGGTGTGACCAGAGGGACTGATGGTACTGACCTGTAGGAGTGACCAGAGGGACTGATGGTACTGACCTGTAGGTGTGACCAGAGGGACTGATGGTACTGACCTGTAGGAGTGACCAGAGGGACTGATGGTACTGACCTGTAGGTGTGACCAGAGGGACTGATGGTACTGACCTGTAGGAGTGACCAGAGGGACTGATGGTACTGACCTGTAGGTGTGACCAGAGGGACTGATGGTACTGACCAGAGGGACTGATGGTACTGACCTGTAGGAGTGACCAGAGGGACTGATGGTACTGACCTGTAGGTGTGACCAGAGGGACTGATGGTACTGACCTGTAGGAGTGACCAGAGGGACTGATGGTACTGACCTGTAGGTGTGACCAGAGGGACTGATGGTACTGACCTGTAGGTGTGACCAGAGGGACTGATGGTACTGACCTGTAGGAGTGACCAGAGGGACTGATGGTACTGACCTGTAGGTGTGACCAGAGGGACTGATGGTACTGACCTGTAGGAGTGACCAGAGGGACTGATGGTACTGACCTGTAGGTGTGACCAGAGGGACTGATGGTACTGACCTGTAGGTGTGACCAGAGGGACTGATGGTACTGACCAGAGGGACTGATGGTACTGACCTGTAGGAGTGACCAGAGGGACTGATGGTACTGACCTGTAGGAGTGACCAGAGGGACTGATGGTACTGACCTGTAGGTGTGACCAGAGGGACTGATGGTACTGACCAGAGGGACTGATGGTACTGACCTGTAGGTGTGACCAGAGGGACTGATGGTACTGACCTGTAGGAGTGACCAGAGGGACTGATGGTACTGACCTGTAGGTGTGACCAGAGGGACTGATGGTACTGACCTGTAGGAGTGACCAGAGGGACTGATGGTACTGACCTGTAGGTGTGACCAGAGGGACTGATGGTACTGACCAGAGGGACTGATGGTACTGACCTGTAGGAGTGACCAGAGGGACTGATGGTACTGACCTGTAGGTGTGACCAGAGGGACTGATGGTACTGACCTGTAGGAGTGACCAGAGGGACTGATGGTACTGACCTGTAGGTGTGACCAGAGGGACTGATGGTACTGACCTGTAGGTGTGACCAGAGGGACTGATGGTACTGACCTGTAGGAGTGACCAGAGGGACTGATGGTACTGACCTGTAGGAGTGACCAGAGGGACTGATGGTACTGACCTGTAGGTGTGACCAGAGGGACTGATGGTACTGACCTGTAGGAGTGACCAGAGGGACTGATGGTACTGACCTGTAGGTGTGACCAGAGGGACTGATGGTACTGACCTGTAGGTGTGACCAGAGGGACTGATGGTACTGACCAGAGGGACTGATGGTACTGACCTGTAGGAGTGACCAGAGGGACTGATGGTACTGACCTGTAGGAGTGACCAGAGGGACTGATGGTACTGACCTGTAGGTGTGACCAGAGGGACTGATGGTACTGACCAGAGGGACTGATGGTACTGACCTGTAGGTGTGACCAGAGGGACTGATGGTACTGACCTGTAGGAGTGACCAGAGGGACTGATGGTACTGACCTGTAGGTGTGACCAGAGGGACTGATGGTACTGACCTGTAGGAGTGACCAGAGGGACTGATGGTACTGACCTGTAGGTGTGACCAGAGGGACTGATGGTACTGACCAGAGGGACTGATGGTACTGACCTGTAGGAGTGACCAGAGGGACTGATGGTACTGACCTGTAGGTGTGACCAGAGGGACTGATGGTACTGACCTGTAGGAGTGACCAGAGGGACTGATGGTACTGACCTGTAGGTGTGACCAGAGGGACTGATGGTACTGACCTGTAGGTGTGACCAGAGGGACTGATGGTATTGACCAGAGGGACTGATGGTACTGACCTGTAGGAGTGACCAGAGGGACTGATGGTACTGACCTGTAGGTGTGACCAGAGGGACTGATGGTACTGACCTGTAGGTGTGGCCTGTCACCTGGTTCCGGACCAGGACACAGTCCACGAGGCACGAGGACAAAAGACCAGTGTTGTCATGACCGATCTGCAGCGTAGTGAGACGACCCAGGTTCTGACACTACACACAGACACACACAGAGAGACACACACAGAGAGACACACACACAGAGACACACACAGAGAGACACGGAGACACAGACACATACACAGAGACACACACACACAGAGACACAGAGACAGAGACACACACACGGAGACACACACACAGAGACACACACACAGAGAGACACACACACACACCATTAGTAGGGGGTAGTTGATAGACTGGACCTGTGACGTCAGTGAGAGACCAGAGAGAGACCAGAGAGAGACCAGAGAGAGACCAGAGAGAGACCAGAGAGAGAGACCAGAGAGAGACCAGAGAGAGAGACCAGTGAGAGACCAGTGAGAGACCAGAGAGAGAGACCAGAGAGAGAGACCAGAGAGAGACCAGTGAGAGACCAGAGAGAGACCAGAGAGAGAGACCAGTGAGAGACCAGTGAGAGACCAGAGAGAGACCAGAGAGAGACCAGAGAGAGACCAGAGAGAGACCAGAGAGAGAGACCAGAGAGAGACCAGAGAGAGAGACTAGTGAGAGACCAGTGAGAGACCAGTGAGAGACCAGTGAGAGACCAGAGAGAGACCAGAGAGAGAGACCAGAGAGAGAGACCAGAGAGAGGCCAGAGAGAGACCAGTGAGAGACCAGTGAGAGACCAGTGAGAGACCAGTGAGAGACCAGTGAGAGACCAGAGAGAGACCAGAGAGAGACCAGAGAGAGAGACCAGAGAGAGAGACCAGAGAGAGGCCAGAGAGAGACCAGTGAGAGACCAGTGAGAGACCAGTGAGAGACCAGTGAGAGACCAGTGAGAGACCAGAGAGAGACCAGAGAGAGACCAGAGAGAGACCAGAGAGAGCCCAGAGAGAGCCCAGAGAGAGACCAGAGAGAGAGACCAGAGAGAGACCAGAGAGAGACCAGAGAGAGACCAGAGAGAGACCAGAGAGAGAGACCCGAGAGAGAGACCAGAGAGAGGCCAGAGAGAGACCAGTGAGAGACCAGTGAGAGACCAGTGAGAGACCAGTGAGAGACCAGAGAGAGAGACCAGAGAGAGACCAGAGAGAGACCAGAGAGAGAGACCAGAGAGAGAGACCAGAGAGAGGCCAGAGAGAGACCAGTGAGAGACCAGTGAGAGACCAGTGAGAGACCAGTGAGAGACCAGTGAGAGACCAGAGAGAGACCAGAGAGAGACCAGAGAGAGCCCAGAGAGAGACCAGAGAGAGACCAGAGAGAGACCAGAGAGAGACCAGAGAGAGACCAGAGAGAGAGACCAGTGAGAGACCAGAGAGAGAGACCAGTGAGAGACCAGTGAGAGACCAGTGAGAGACCAGAGAGAGACCAGAGAGAGACCAGTGAGAGACCAGTGAGAGACTGATACCAGTGGTTATGTTCTGGTATAAAACACACCACATTGTCCTCCCAGTCACAGAGGATGGTGATGATGTAGTTCACAGCGTTCAGGATAGAACAGTAACGAGCTCCCAGCGGCGCCCGGGACTCCTCCTTCATCACCTGCAACACCAGAGGCCCAATCAGAGAGGCCCAATCAGAGAGGCCCAATCAGAGAGGCCCAATCAGAGAGGCCCAATCAGAGAGGCCCAATCAGAGAGGCCCAATCAGAGAGGCCCAATCAGAGAGGACCAATCAGAGAGGACCAGAGAGGACCAGAGAGGACCAGAGAGAACCAATGTGTCTAAGAGAGCTGTGATTGGTCTGGTCCTCTGCAGAAACAGGTCTGTAGTTTGTGCCTCAGATTGTGAGTGTGACCTGAGTCAGACGGATGCGGAAGTCGTCCACCAGCTCCCTCTGCAGGTCCAGGAACTTCAACTGAGACGATGGACACGGCAGACTACTGTACCGATCTGAAACACCAGAGACCAGAGACCAGAGAGAGACCAGAGAGAGAGACCAGAGAGAGACCAGAGACCAGAGACCAGAGAGAGAGACCAGAGAGAGAGACCAGAGAGAGAGACCAGAGAGAGAGACCAGAGAGAGACCAGAGACCAGAGAGAGACACCAGAGAGAGACCAGAGACCAGAGAGAGAGACCAGAGAGAGACCAGAGAGGGACCAGAGAGAGACCAGAGAGAGACCAGAGAGAGACCAGAGACCAGAGAGAGAGACCCGAGAGAGACCAGAGAGAGACCAGAGAGAGACCAGAGAGAGACCAGAGAGAGACCAGAGAGAGACCAGAGAGGGACCAGAGAGAGACCAGAGAGAGACCAGAGACCAGAGAGACAAGAGACCAGAGAGGGACCAGAGAGGGACCAGACAGACCAGAGAGACCAGAGAGAGACCAGAGACCAGAGACCAGAGACCAGAGAGGGAGAGAGTTATATAATGTTGTGTGTTCACGACAGATGAAACCGTTCACATTTGGAAGCCTCGATAGTACAACAGGACCATTAAGTCCAGTGCATACATAGTGTTCCTGTCTTTATGCGTCTCATGGTGTCATGTCTTTATACGTCTCATGGTGTCATGTCTTCATGGTGTCTCATGGTGTTCATGGTCCCTCATGGTGTCCATGGCGTCTCATGGTGTCCATGGTGTCTCATGGTGTCTCATGGTGTCTCATGGTGTCCATGGTGTCTCATGGTGTCTCATGGTGTCTCATGGTGTCCATGGTGTCTCATGGTGTCTCATGGTGTCCATGGTGTCTCATGGTGTCTCATGGTGTCTCATGGTGTCCATGGTGTCTCATGGTGTCTCATGGTGTCTCATGGTGTCCATGGTGTCCATGGTGTCTCATGGTGTCTCATGGTGTCTCATGGTGTCTCATGGTGTCCATGGTGTCTCATGGTGTCCATGGTGTCTCATGGTGTCTCATGGTGTCCATGGTGTCTCATGGTGTCCATGGTGTCCATGGTGTCTCATGGTGTCCATGGTGTCTCATGGTGTCCATGGTGTCTCATGGTGTCCATGGTCTCATGGTGTTCATGGTCTCACCGGTGATGACCTGCAGTAGGGTCATGAAGGTCTCGGCACAGTCCGGGGCCTTGAGCTCGTCCACGTCGCTGATGTCTTTGTACTGAGACGTCCAGGCGCCTTCAGAGGACATCATGGAGTCCACCTTCTCCAGGGCCACTGCACAACACCATAAACAACACCATGAACAACACCATAAACACTGAGACCATGTGGCCTGGGCTGTCTGCTCACTCTTCCTCTCCAGGCTCAGCCACTTGTGCAGCAGACTGGGCTCCAGCAGCAGGTGCAGCACCGCGGGCACCGATGGCGGCAGCAGCTGCTGGAGCCGCAGCTCTCTCTCGAAGTGCAGCAGCTCCTCCAGCAGGTGGCAGAAGAGAGCGTCCTCGTACAGCAGCCGCGGCGCTTCACTCTGCACTTTACGCTGCACCAGAGACAGCAGGCCACGGCACAGCTCCACCTGAGAGACACCAGAGAGGACATGCACCTGAGAGACACCAGAGAGGACATGCACCTGAGAGACACCAGAGAGGACATGCACCTGAGAGACACCAGAGAGGACATGCACCTGAGGGACACCAGAGAGGACATGCACCTGAGAGCAGAGAGGACATGCACCTGAGACCAGAGAGGACATGCACCTGAGAGAGACCAGAGAGGACATGCACCTGAGACCAGAGAGGACATGCACCTGAGAGACACCAGAGAGGACATGCACCTGAGAGACACCAGAGAGGACATGCACCTGAGAGAGACCAGAGAGGACATGCACCTGAGAGAGACCAGAGAGGACATGCACCCGAGAGAGACCAGAGAGGACATGCACCTGAGACCAGAGAGGACATGCACCTGAGAGAGACCAGAGAGGACATGCACCTGAGAGAGACCAGAGAGGACATGCACCTGAGAGACACCAGAGAGGACATGCACCTGAGAGACACCAGAGAGGACATGCACCTGAGAGCAGAGAGGACATGCACCTGAGACCAGAGAGGACATGCACCTGAGAGAGACCAGAGAGGACATGCACCTGAGACCAGAGAGGACATGCACCTGAGACCAGAGAGGACATGCACCTGAGAGACACCATAGAGGACATGCACCTGAGAGACACCAGAGAGGACATGCACCTGAGAGACACCAGAGAGGACATGCACCTGAGAGACACCAGAGAGGACATGCACCTGAGAGAGACCAGAGAGGACATGCACCCGAGAGAGACCAGAGAGGACATGCACCTGAGACCAGAGAGGACATGCACCTGAGACCAGAGAGGACATGCACCTGAGAGAGACCAGAGAGGACATGCACCTGAGAGAGACCAGAGAGGACATGCACCTGAGAGACACCAGAGAGGACATGCACCTGAGAGAGACCAGAGAGGACATGCACCTGAGACCAGAGAGGACATGCACCTGAGAGAGACCAGAGAGGACATGCACCTGAGACCAGAGAGGACATGCAACTGAGAGACACCAGAGAGGACATGCACCTGAGAGAGACCAGAGAGGACATGCACCTGAGACCAGAGAGGACATGCACCTGAGAGAGACCAGAGAGGACATGCACCTGAGACCAGAGAGGACATGCAACTGAGAGACACCAGAGAGGACATGCACCTGAGACCAGAGAGGACATGCACCTGAGAGACACCAGAGAGGACATGCACCTGAGAGACACCAGAGAGGACATGCACCTGAGAGAGACCAGAGAGGACATGCACCTGAGAGAGACCAGAGAGGACATACACCTGAGACCAGAGAGGACATGCACCTGAGAGAGACCAGAGAGGACATGCACCTGAGAGAGACCAGAGAGGACATGCACCTGAGAGACACCAGAGAGGACATGCACCTGAGAGACACCAGAGAGGACATGCACCTGAGAGAGACCAGAGAGGACATGCACCTGAGAGAGACCAGAGAGGACATGCACCTGAGAGACACCAGAGAGGACATGCACCTGAGAGACACCAGAGAGGACATGCACCTGAGAGAGACCAGAGAGGACATGCACCTGAGAGAGACCAGAGAGGACATGCACCTGAGAGAGACCAGAGAGGACATGCACCTGAGAGAGACCAGAGAGGACATGCAACTGAGAGACACCAGAGAAGACATGCACCTGAGACCAGAGAGGACATGCACCTGAGAGACACCAGAGAGGACATGCACCTGAGAGAGACCAGAGAGGACATACACCTGAGACCAGAGAGGACATGCACCTGAGAGAGACCAGAGAGGACATGCACCTGAGAGAGACCAGAGAGGACATGCACCTGAGAGACACCAGAGAGGACATGCACCTGAGAGACACCAGAGAGGACATGCACCTGAGAGAGACCAGAGAGGACATGCACCTGAGAGAGACCAGAGAGGACATGCACCTGAGAGACACCAGAGAGGACATGCACCTGAGAGAGACCAGAGAGGACATGCACCTGAGAGACACCAGAGAGGACATGCACCTGAGACCAGAGAGGACATGCACCTGAGACCAGAGAGGACATGCACCTGAGAGAGACCAGAGAGGACATGCTCCTGGTCTTACCTTAGCGCTGACTCCAGCTCCGGCTCGGTCCAGCACCGGCTGGATCCTGTCGTCCATAAAGGCAGAGTTGTGAGTGATCCACACCAGAACCTGAGTCAGGTACCACTCCGGCTGCACACAGGGACACATGAGCTCACAGGGCTGTACCATCAACGACACACCAGCAACATACTACATACCGTTAACATACAGACCTACTGTATGTTAATGTGCGGGACGCATACGCCTCCTCCCCCCTCCCCCCTCTCGGACGCTCTGATCACAGCCTGGTCCGTCTGTCTCCGGAATACACACCAGTGGTGAGAAGAAATCCAGCGCAGAAGAGGATTGTAAAAGTGTGGAGCGATGATGTGGATGAGATGCTGAGAGATTGTTTTCAAAACACTGATTGGGAAATGATGTTTGCTCTCATGGTGAGGACATGGAGAGCCAGACACACTGCATTACAGACTATATTCTCTTCTGTGTGGATAACACTGTACCAACTAAGAAGCTGGCCCAGGGAAACGCCCGTGACGTGTGGAGAGGCCTAAAGAACATCTCCGGCTTTGGACAGAGTGCCAGAGGAACAGCGGATGGAGACCAGCACCGGGCGGATGAATTTAACCAGTACTTCAACCGGTTTGATGCTCCCCCCTCTCCATCTGCCCCCTCCCGCCCCCACCTCCCCTCCCGCCCCCACCTCTTCACACGTCCCCAGCCCAGTGGGCACCGCCCAGTGGACACTGCCTCCGGCTGCCCCGGGCCCTCCTGCCCCCGCATCTCCAGCCCCCACCTCGGACAGTACACCCCGACCCCCCCCCTCTGAAGCTGAGGAAATCCGCAGGACCGGACGGGATCAGTCCCAGGCTGCTGAGGACCTGTGCAGACCAGCTCTCTGGGGTCCTCAGCTACATGTACAACCTGAGCCTCAGCCTGGAGAAGGTCCCTGTCCTGTGGAAGACCTCCTGTGGAAGACCTCCTGTGAAAGACCTCCTGTGGAAGACCTCCTGTGGAAGACCTCCTGTGGAAGACCTCCTGTGGAAGACCTCCTGTGGAAGACCTCCTGTGGAAGACCTCCTGTGGAAGACCATGGAGCACTGACCTCCTGATGAAGACCATGGAGCACTGACCTCCTGATGAAGACCATGGAGCACTGACCTCCTGATGAAGACCATGGAGCACTGACCTCCCACCTGATGAAGACCATGGAGCACTGACCTCCCCCTGATGAAGACCATGGAGCACTGACCTCCCCCTGATGAAGACCATGGAGCACTGACCTCCTGATGAAGACCATGGAGCACTGACCTCCCACCTGGTGAAGACCATGGAGCACTGACCTCCCACCTGATGAAGACCATGGAGCACTGACCTCCTGATGAAGACCATGGAGCACTGACCTCCCACCTGGTGAAGACCATGGAGCACTGACCTCCTGATGAAGACCATGGAGCACTGACCTCCTGATGAAGACCATGGAGCACTGACATCCTGATGAAGACCATGGAGCACTGACCTCCCACCTGATGAAGACCATGGAGCACTGACCTCCCACCTGATGAAGACCATGGAGCACTGACCTCCTGATGAAGACCATGGAGCACTGACATCCTGATGAAGACCAGTCGCACTGACCTCCCACCTGATGAAGACCATGGAGCGGCTCATCCTCACCCATCTCCGCTCCGTGGTCAGCCCCACCCTGGACCCGCTGCAGTTCGCCTACAGGCCCAACATCGGAGTAGAGGACGCCGTCATCTACTTCCTGCAGCGGACGCTCTCCCACCTGGAGCCTGCAGGGGGCGCTGTGAGGGTCATGTTCTTTGACTTCAGTGCTTTCAATACCATCAGACCTCACTGCTGCAGGGGAAGATGGAGGACGCGGGAGTGGACAGTAGCCTCACTGCATGGACCATCAGCTACCTCACTGCATGGACCATCAGCTACCTCACTGCATGGACCATGGACTACCTCACTGCATGGACCATCAGCTACCTCACTGCATGGACCATGGACTACCTCACTGCATGGACCATCAGCTACCTCACTGCATGGACCATCAACTACCTCACTGCATGGACCATGGACTACCTCACTGCATGGACCATCAGCTACCTCACTGCATGGACCATGGACTACCTCACTGCATGGACCATCAGCTACCTCACTGCATGGACCATCAACTACCTCACTGCATGGACCATGGACTACCTCACTGCAGGACCATCAGCTACCTCACTGCATGGACCATCAGCTACCTCACTGCATGGACCATCAGCTACCTCACTGCATGGACCATGGACTACCTCACTGCAGGACCATCAGCTACCTCACTGCATGGACCATCAGCTACCTCACTGCATGGACCATCAGCTACCTCACTGCATGGACCATCAGCTACCTCACTGCATGGACCATCAACTACCTCACTGCATGGACCATCAACTACCTCACTGCATGGACCATCAGCTACCTCACTGCATGGACCATCAACTACCTCACTGCAGGACCATCAACTACCTCACTGCATGGACCATCAACTACCTCACTGCATGGACCATCAGCTACCTCACTGCATGGACCATGGACTACCTCACTGCATGGACCATCAGCTACCTCACTGCATGGACCATCAACTACCTCACTGCATGGACCATGGACTACCTCTCAGAGCGACCACAGTACGTGCGGCTGCAGCTGTGAGTCTGAGGTGGTCGTCTGCAGCACTGGGGCCCCTCAGGGCACTGTCCTCTCACCGTTTCTCTTCACCATCTACACCTCAGACTTCACACACGACACACACAGCTGTCACCTGCAGAAGTTCTCCGACGACTCCGCCATCGTGGGCTGTGTGTCTGAGGGGAACCAACTGGAATATCGGTCGGTTATCAAGGACTTTGTCGACTGGTGTGAGCGCAACCACTTGTGCTTGAACACCAGTAAGACCAAGGAGATGGTCATCGACTTCAGGATAAAACCACTTTCCCACACGCTGCTGAACATCCAGGGGGAGGACATTGAGCTGGTGGACAGCTTCAAGTACCTGGGTGTTCACATTAACAATAAACTGGACTGGTCCATAATACAAACGCCCTGCACAAGAAGGGCCAAAGTCGCCTCTTCCTTCTGAGGAGGCTGAGGTCCTTCTGAGGAGACTGAGGTCCTTCTGAGGAGGCTAAGGTCCTTCTGAGGAGGCTGAGGTCCTTCTGAGGAGGCTGAGGTCCTTCTGAGGAGGCCGAGGTCCTTCTGAGGAGGCTGAGGTCCTTCTGAGGAGGCTGAGGTCCTTCTGAGGAGGTCCTTCTGAGGAGGCTGAGGTCCTTCTGAGGAGGCTGAGGTCCTTCTGAGGAGACTGAGGTCCTTCTGAGGAGACTGAGGTCCTTCTGAGGAGACTGAGGTCCTTCTGAGGAGGCTGAGGTCCTTCTGAGGAGGCTGAGGTCCTTCTGAGGAGACTGAGGTGCTTCTGAGGAGGCTGAGGTCCTTCTGAGGAGGCTGAGGTCCTTCTGAGGAGGCTGAGGTCCTTCTGAGGAGGCTGAGGTCCTTCTGAGGAGGCTGAGGTCCTTCTGAGGAGACTGAGGTGCTTCTGAGGAGGCTGAGGTCCTTCTGAGGAGGCTGAGGTCCTTCTGAGGAGGCTGAGGTCCTTCTGAGGAGGCTGAGGTCCTTCTGAGGAGGTCCTTCTGAGGAGGCTGAGGTCCTTCTGAGGAGACTGAGGTCCTTCTGAGGAGACTGAGGTGCTTCTGAGGAGGCTGAGGTCCTTCTGAGGAGGCTGAGGTCCTTCTGAGGAGACTGAGGTGCTTCTGAGGAGGCTGAGGTCCTTCTGAGGAGGCTGAGGTCCTTCTGAGGAGGCTGAGGTCCTTCTGAGGAGGCTGAGGTCCTTCTGAGGAGACTGAGGTGCTTCTGAGGAGGTCCTTCTGAGGAGGCTGAGGTCCTTCTGAGGAGGTCCTTCTGAGGAGGCTGAGGTCCTTCTGAGGAGGCTGAGGTCCTTCGGAGGAGGCTGAGGTCCTTCTGAGGAGGCTGAGGTCCTTCTGAGGAGGCTGAGGTCCTTCTGAGGAGGCTGAGGTCCTTCTGAGGAGGCTGAGGTCCTTCTGAGGAGACTGAGGTCCTTCTGAGGAGGCTGAAGTCCTTCTGAGGAGGCTGAGGTCCTTCTGAGGAGGCTGAGGTCCTTCTGAGGAGGCTGAGGTCCTTCTGAGGAGGCTGAGGTCCTTCTGAGGAGGCTGAGGTCCTTCTGAGGAGGCTGAGGTCCTTCTGAGGAGGCTGAGGTCCTTTGGAGGAGGCTGAGGACCTTCTGAGGAGGCTGAGGTCCTTCTGAGGAGGCTGAGGTCCTTCTGAGGAGGCTGAGGTCCTTCTGAGGAGGCTGAGGTCCTTCTGAGGAGGCTGAGGTCCTTTGGAGGAGGCTGAGGACCTTCTGAGGAGGCTGAGGTCCTTCTGAGGAGGCTGAGGTCCTTCTGAGGAGGCTGAGGTCCTTCTGAGGAGGCTGAGGTCCTTCTGAATGAGCAGACCTCTGCCATTTACTACGCTGCCGTGTGCTGGGCCCCGGGCAGCACAGAGCGGGACAGAAACAGACTGAACAAGCTGGTCAGGAGGAGGTGAGGGACAGGAGGCCCCTGGACTCTGTGGAGGAGGTGAGGGACAGGAGGCCCCTGGACTCTGTGGAGGAGGTGAGGGACAGGAGGCCCCTGGACTCTGGAGGAGGTGAGGGACAGGAGGCCCCTGGACTCTGTGGAGGAGGTGAGGGACAGGAGGCCCCTGGACTCTGTGGAGGAGGTGAGGGACAGGAGGCCCCTGGACTCTGTGGAGGAGGTGAGGGACAGGAGGCCCCTGGACTCTGTAGAGGAGGTGAGGGACAGGAGGCCCCTGGACTCTGTGGAGGAGGTGAGGGACAGGAGGAGTCAAAGCCACCTCCTTCATGGACAACACCTCCTGCACAGGACTGAGGAGGAGCTGAGGAGCTCCTTCAGTGTAAGAAGGAGCAGGGCCTTTATCCCCACCGCTGTCAGACTGTACAATAAGTCACTTTAAATGGTCACTGTGTGAAAACCATTGACACGTGACTCTTTTGTTGAACATAATTATCCTGTATTTAACATTTCTTTCTTTTCCACAATCTGAGTGTTTCTATACTACATACCATCAACTCCACACCAGTAATATACTACATACCATCAACTCCACACCAGTAACATAATACATACCATCAACTACACACCAGTAATATACTACATACCATCAACTCCACACCAGTAACATAATACATACCATCAACTACACACCAGTAATATACTACATACCATCAACTCCACACCAGTAATATACTACCTACCATCAACTCCACACCAGTAATATACTACATACCATCAACTCCACACCAGTAATATACTACCTACCATCAACTCCACACCAGTAACATAATACATACCATCAACTACACACCAGTAATATACTACATACCATCAACTACACACCAGTAACATAATACATACCATCAACTACACACCAGTAATATACTACATACCATCAACTACACACCAGTAACATAATACATACCATCAACTACACACCAGTAATATACTACATACCATCAACTACACACCAGTAACATAATACATACCATCAACTACACACCAGTAACATAATACATACCATCAACTACACACCAGTAATATACTACATACTACAGTGACTTGCAAAAGTATTCGGCCCCCTTGAAACTTTCAACATTTCGCCACATTTTCAGGCTTCAAACATAAAGATATAACATTTTATTTTTTTGTCATGAATCAACAACAAGTGTGACACAATCGTGAAGTGGAACAAAATGTATTGGATAATTTAAACTTTTTTAACAAATAAAAAACTGAAAAGTGGGGCGTGCAATATTATTGGGCCCCTTTACTTTCAGTGCAGCAAACTCAGTCCAGAAGTTCAGTGAGGATCTTTGAATGATCCAATGTTGTCCTAAATGACTGATGATGATAAATAGAATGCACCTGTGTGTAATCAAGTCTCCGTATAAATGCACCTGCTCTTTGATAGTCTCAGGGTTCTGTTTAAAGCGCAGAGAGAACCATGAAGACAAAGGAACACACCAGGCAGGTCCGAGATACTGTTGTGGAGAAGTTTAAAGCCGGATTTGGATACAAAAAGATTTCCCAAGCTTTAAACATCTCAAGGAGCACTGTGCAAGCAATTATATTGAAATGGAAGGAGTATCAGACCACTGCAAATCTACCAAGACCCGGCCGTCCCTCCAAACTTTCATCTCAAACAAGGAGAAGACTGATCAGAGATGCAGCCAAGAGGCCCATGATCACTCTGGATGAACTGCAGATAACTACAGCTGAGGTGGGGATGGTGTGTTCAGGGTAGGGCTGGGTCATATCATACCTTTCAAGGTAATACCGGTGTAATGTTATGGTACGATATGAATTTGAGATATCGCAATAGAACTTGGTCTTAACGCGCGTGCGCAGTACCAATGTTTTCATGCAGTCTAGCACATGGAGTGAGAAGCATGGCGGCGACCGAGGAGGCGGCATGCACAAGCGAAACATTGACTGACACAAGTGAACCAGAATTGGTTTGCAAAAAAGGTGCAACATCCGTGGTGTGGAGCTGGTTTGGTTTTCGCCCGTCGGATACACGGCAGAACACTATTTTTTGCAAAATATGCAAGCGGTCCGTCGTGGCAAAGGGAGGAAACACCACAAACCTGTTTCAACATTTGAAGCAAAAGCACTTACTGGAGTACAACAAAGCTGTAAAAGCACGCGAGGAGGCGTCTGCATCAACTGATGATGTGGTGAGACCAAAGAAACACACTCAGCAAACAGTCGGCGTAACTTTAAATAATGGCGCACCTTATGAAAAAGGTAGCAAACGCTGGGGGGACCTAACTAATGCAGTGACACGTTGTTTGGCCAGGGATATGATGCCCATTCAGAGTGTCGAAAGAGAGGGCTTTTCGAAAATGCTTAAAACATTTGATCTCCGCTACAAGCTGCCCTCCAAGAAGTACTTTTCTAAAGTCGCCTTGCCGGCATAAAGACGCCCGTACTGAAGTGTCAAATGCACTCTCTTCGGTGGAGTTTTTTGCGTCCACCACGGACATGTGGTCTAGCCGCACATCGGACCCATACCTGAGTCTCACAATACACTACGTGGACAAGACTGGAAGCTACAAAATAAGTGCCTTGAAACAAGTTTCTTCCCTGATGACCATACGGGGGAAAATATAGCGAAGGGCTTAAAAGAATTCCTCAACTCATGGAAACTTGGAGAGGAAAAACAAGTGTGTGTGACGACAGACAACGGAGCGAATGTAGTGAAAGCCACCGCGCTTAACAACTGGACCAGGCTTTCATGCTTCGGACATCGCCTGCACATTGCAATAGGTAAGTTAATTAAAACGTTAGATGTAGTCTTGTATTCTTTAAAATAAAAGGTAGCCAGAACTGTATTGCATGGTGTTGATTTGATTTAAAAATAAATAAATTAATAATTTGTAGTCTAAGGCTGGATGTGGTCAGTTTTGATGCAAATCCTGCTTTGATTTAGTCCTTGTGTGGCCTCTGTTTGGTTTTTATATTTATAAAAATAAAACACAACACAAATGTTAATACCCTTTGGAATGGGCACTTAAAGTTTATATATAGATAAAATAAACTTTAATTGTCACCCATTCCACCCAATAATATTTGTTTTAAATA